TTGATGATTCCGAGACGTAATCATCCTAAGGGGGAGATAATTGTAACACCCGTAGATCTGGGCTAGTCAATTTAGAGACGATAGGTATCGAAAATGACTTTTTGATAGAAGGCTATTTAGAATGAATAGTCTTAACAAAATTTGTAGCATATGTTACAAGTATTTCGTATATATAAAGAACGCCAAAATCCGAGTTATAACGAAGAAGTTATGACTCGTCGAAGTTTCGCGACGGAACCGGCACGGCACCGGGAAGCGTAAATAGTAAATTTACAATAGAGAGATACTCGGCCTTAGTGATCGAAACGAAGGTCGTAGAATATGTTAAACCGAGAGTGTGCATAAAAAGAACGCCCAGATCTGACTTCGTATGAGGAAGTTATGATTTTTCGAAGTTTCGGCTTAGCAGTGTATAGCCTGAAGTTCGAATATTAGATCGAGCGATTTTTAGCCGACACAACCTAAACGAGAATCGAAGATCTCGTTAATAGTAGCGTGACGATAAAAAGACAGACGAAAACGGATGTCGGATGAAGAAGTTATAAATTTTTAACGGACCAATCCTGTCCCGGCCGGTTAAAAATATAAATTTTAAAATAAAGTCAAAATTAGCCGACAAAGTCTAAACGAAAGTTGTATATTACGGTCCCGCCTACGCGTGGATATAAAGAACGTTGAAAACGGAGCTCGTATGCAAAAGTTACGAATTTCAGAAGTCGAGTGTGCAATTTGCGAAACCTTATGCGAACTGGATGACGTGGCAGCATCTGGGCCGTCGCTTGCTGATCACGGCTCAGCCTTCGGATTCGGACACCTAGCTCGCAAACGCAGCGCGTACAAGTAGAACGCCCAGTGTTCGAAGAACGCCTCGCGTCGGAAGGGAACGTTGCGCGTACTTCGTATCCTTCATGCGGTCCGAGAACAGGCCACGTCGCCCTAGCAGCTTCGCGACACGTGTGTACGGCCAAGTCCTTACGCCCAGCGTAGGTCCGAAGTACGCCCAGCGTACTCTGAGGCCTCGCGGCAATAAAAGGAGGCCGAGGCTGCCATCTTTTTCACACCAAAAAATCTTTTCTCTCTCTCTCACTACTTTCTCTCTCTAGCCTATCTTAAGCCCCCTAAAGTCTAGGTAAACCCCCTAGCACCTGAAGGAAGCCCCGAGGCTCCCGTAGCCCCGAGAAAAAGGGTCTTTCGGTTCGGAAACGTTGCTCCAAGCGAAGCCCGGTTTTCGAGAAAACTCGCTGTAAGTGAGCTACGCCTATGTTATTTTTAATATAGCTTTTAATTAATTATAGTAACGTTATGAGGACTTTATAATAATTATTTAGGCTATTATTATGGGTTATATAAGTGTCATTATAATATCTTTTTAACCACTCGCAGTACGAGGACTCTGGTTTAAAGGGCCGCATAGGGTTGTTGGATTTCAAAAGTGTTATATGCCAAAATGGTCCTGCCCTCCGGTGTTTTATGTTTGGCCCCTGTCTGTACATAGTGGGTGAAGAGTATTGTTTAACGCTTATATAATAGTAATAGCTAGACTATTAATTAGTCTCGGTGAATGTTAGACTAAACACAATTGGTAATGATACTAGGTTCTGTCAAAGGAAATTGTTTTAAGAGTAACGAAGCGCTGTCTGAGTTCGGAATCACCACCTCTTCAAGTGAGTGCATAGTTACTTTCATCTTACACATAGATATGAAGTATTTTATATAAACTATGTGCTATGTGTGCATATTATCTGTATACTTACTATCTATGCTGGATGAACGATTTTATACAAGTTTTATATGATTTAAACTGTACATGTATTTATATCTACATAATATGTTGGGTAAAACATGGGTAGATGAAATATGAGTTGGATGATGAGTTGAGAGGTGATATAGACCATGAGGTAAGGGTGAGAGGTGGACGATGTGAGAAGCCTTGTTTCCAAATGTTGGCCCTGTCATCTAGCAGAGTATGGATGACAACCACGGACTATTCTAGACAGTCTAGTGGAACACTAGCAGGCTCGCAACCTGTAGGTGTTGTGAACGATGTGTTCACCTGGTGTACTCTAAACCCTGGCGACCATGCAGACTTGGTGCCTAAACCTTGGCGATCATGCAGACTTGGTACCTAAACCCTGGCGACTATGCAGAATTAGTGCCTAAATCCTGGCGACTATGCGGACTTAGTGTCTGTTGTATAAACCCTGGCGACTATGCAGACTTAGTGCCTAACCCCTGGCGACTATGCGGACTTAGTGCCTGTTGTATAAATCTGGGCGACTATGTAGACTTAGTGCCTAAACCCCGCTGACGATGGACTTCGTGTCGATTCCTTAGGATGATCCTTAGGAATGAATGAACGAGGAATAGTTGATTCTTAGGGTAGATCCTTAAGAGTAAAGAAGATAATGGAGATGGGTAATTGGGTTGATTGTTTGATGATTAAACATAATAATTATATTATTGTGGGTTGAAAACCCTATGTACTCACCAGGTTCCCCAACCTGACCCACACCAGGTTATTTCTATCACAGGTGTCGATATGAAGATACTTTACACTGAGAGATTTAAAAGAGATGTAGATCACTAGTGTAAATGAATGTAAGTTCTGTTTATGTTTATGTTTCTGTATTGACAATGACATCCCAAATGTTTTAAAAATGAATAAAAATACATTTCTTCGGAAATGCTTTGATAACGTATTTATCATGTTTTTCTGGGAACAAATTCCGCAACATTTTTTATTAAAAGAGGTATTCTGATTTTTATAAAGCATAAACAAAATCGGTCTTTTGTGGCCGTGAAATCAAGCCAATTTAAAACTTTTTAATACATTTAAAAACCATTAAGTGATTACAGTTTGTTTTTCAAAATAGTTTAAACATCAGAGTATCCCCAGAATCAAATCATAAAACCATGAAATATGAGGAGCTGTACGATCACGCCTTTGCATTCCTGCGATCATCTGATGTACCTGAAACAATAAACTGAAACTGTAAGCCCGAAAGCTTAGTGAGTTCCCCCAAAATACCAACCTCATATAACCATACTCATATCATATCAGCAAATACAGAACAACCTGCATAATAAGCCTTCAGCCTGACTGGACCGCCTCTCAGGGCCTACAGCCTATCTGCACTGCTCCCGAGCCTTCGGCATGACTGGACCGCCTCGCAGGGCCTACAGCCTATCCGGGCCGCTCGCAGAGTATGTTGACCTACAGCACAAAGCAGGACCGCCTCAACCCAACCCAACCACAATGTCGACATACGTACAACACATAATCAAACAATAAGCACAAATCATACAGACTGCTAAGCATAGCATCATCTTATCTACCATAATACCGATCTAACAGATCATAACAGCATAACAACACCCTAACTATCAGGGTACCGATCTAACAGATCATAACAACATATCATCACTCTAACTACCAGGGTACCTATCTAACAGATCATAACAGCATAACAACACCCTAATTACCAGGGTACAGATCTAACAGATCATAACAGCATAAGAACACCCTAACTACCAGGGTACAGATCTAGCAGATCACGAATGCATAACAACATACTAAATGTAGGATAATAATCCAAAGGGACCGACCTAGTGTCGTAGACCCTGTTAGTATAGTGAGGAGAACTCACCTGGCATTGCTGAAGTCCTGCAGATAAAACTCTAACTGCTGGTTGACACCTTCCCGAACTGTCAACTTCAAACAATACCCAATTAATAATTGGGTTCCAAGCCCACGGTCCAACTCACACTCCAAAAGACCCAAAAGTCAAGTAATGGGTCAAAGCCCAACATATGGCCCAATTTTCCAAATTAGGCCCAGACCTCTACATGGTCTTTCCTTAAGGCCCGTTCAATTATTCTAGTCCAAACTATTTGTATTCCCATGGCCCAATATCACATAATCATAAAGGCCCAGCACAAAGTCCAAGCGAAATTAGGGTTTCACATAAAATAACAATTAGGGTCAAGTATTTTTCACTTAACCCATTAAGGACTTAATCCATTAAGTCCCTTACTTTGCTAAATAAGTCATATGGTGTGATTGGGCTTAATACACAATTCCATTCCAATGGCCCAAATGTGGGTCCCGATAAGTCCAAGCCTAAAATCTCAAAATTAGGGTTTTCACATGAAATGATGATTAGGGTTAAGCGTTTCTTACTTAACCCATTATGGACTTAATCCATTAAGTCTAATATTTACTTATGTTAATTTGCCAATGATTATTATTTAATATTTCAAGTTTATTAAATAATTCTCGTGTGTGTCCCGATAAATTCCCAAAACTAGGGCTTTATACCATTAGGGTTTTCCAAACCCTAATTGGGGTTTCCAACCCAATACTAGCTCATTAATCAATTGGTTGGGCTTTTAGGTCACTTTGGTCCTCATTGGGCCCATTAGGGTTTTATTAGGTCGATTAGGGTTTCCTTGGGCCCATTATGGCCTTATTGGGCCCATTAGGGTTTCATGCATCCCAACGAATCAACACCACAAGGCAAAGCACACTGCCACCCGACACGGCGGCCGCTGGCGGCAGGAGGCGGCAGCCACCACCCTACGGTGGTGGTTAGACTTTTCTTTCATTATTCTCACGCTATTACAACTTACAACAATACTCAACACACACACTCACATAAAACTAACACACACACTAATTACACACACACAGCCGCACTGCGGCGGCAGGTGGTGGTCGGAGGTGCTAGCCACCACCTCACGGTGGTGGTGGTGGCCCTCTTGCAATTCCGGCCAAGACAACCACACACACACACACGCATGTCACGTCTTCTGTTCATAAAAGAGTCCAGCCACCCACCTGGTGGCGTACGGCGGCGGTGTAGAGGGTGACAGCAGCAGTATATCTCGGCGACAGCCACCATGGCCGGAAGCCATGGTGGTTTTCTCGGATTTTTTGGCCAACCGAAGCCATACTCACGCATCCCGACGGTGAAACTCGACCCAGTCGTTCTTCACGGTAGTCAGCGGCGGTAGCCGGCGATACGAGCGGTAGACATATGAAGAGAAATGAGGTGAGGAGAAGGTTCGTCGCCGCCAGTAGCAATGGTAGCAATGGCGGCGTCAGCTTGGTGATTCACGGCTTCAACAGTGGAGGGTCGGCGGTCCGATGATGTCGATGCAACAGAAGAACGGGGGGAAGAAGAATTGCGACCCCGACTTGCGAACAGCGGCGGTGGCAACCGCATCTTTGCTTCTTCCGACTGACTTCACGGTCACGGTATCGGCTCAACTCGTTCCTTCATCGGCGATGATCTCAACGGCTTCGATGGTCCACTATGGCATCAAGAGGTTGGCAGCTACCGGAAGTGAAGAAGGAGGATGGCGGCTGATAGGTCACGTATGGGATGGTGGCGGCTCCAACGACTTAGGGTTAGGGTTTAGAGGTGGTGGACAGCTATTTACTCGCTTCTTCAAACTTCGACCCATAATGACAAAACCGGCCCCTCCTTCTCCATTCCATTTCATATTAAGTCCCAAACTTACCATTTAGCCCTTGACTCCATAATCCTTTTCAATATAAGTCCAAAAATTCCAAAACAACCCCTCCTCTACAAACTATTCTCAATTAAGATCCATAAATTACCATTTCTACCCTGGCTTCAAGAATCCTTCTCAGAATAAGTCTGATATTTACTCTTTAACCCTCGGAAATCAAAAGTATACCATTTGGCACCCCGAAACCAACACCCCACTAATTAATATTTGATTTTGGACAATAATATCATAATATCAAATAATAATAAAATTACTTCTTGGCGTTCCGGGTTTATCATTAATTATTCTATTTCAAACGGGATGTTACAACTCTCCCCCACTTAAATTTGATTTCGTCCTTGAAATCGTTTCTTATCATTCCTTACACGCCCGACAACCTGAGCTTCATGGTCACAACTACCAGCATAACCCCAGCCTTTCCAAGGCAACTGTAACCAACCCTCGCAGGGTTCTAAAACCAGGAAAATAAACGAATCCCTTACAATATGATCACATTTACTCAATCCAAAATCTGGAGTCTCGAGATGGTCTAGCTTCCTGACAGACTGCTCATACTGAATCATCTGTAACATCCCCCACTGGCACGTATCACAATATTCTCCGTTTTGGGCTCCCGACGTGAAAATTAAAATCAAAGACCCAATTATCCCTGCAGGTCACTTAGCCTAACCCAAGCAATCTATTATTTCGTCCGTATTTGCAACCCAACACAAATACCAATACTGCCACAAGCGGAAACTACCTGCACATTGATCTGCCTGAAGCAGTATGCTGCAACATGACTGCTTTCTAAAATCTATCGAGACCTCCCTGGTCTCAATTCGTTCACCAATAATCTGACATATCGGGTTCTGACCCAATCGCGGAGCTAAAGGACTCCCACATAGTTGCCTCACACGACTTCCAAACGAAATCCTTCCCTGGAACTAGTTGCAACTAGTTATCATGCCACTGCGACTCTAACAACCTCCTGATCCAACCGATCGGATCCATGCGTCGAATCCCGTCGTTACCAAATCCACGGCTAAAAGCGATTGCTACATGACCAATAGTAGCCTCACATCACAAGCAACCTTAAGCAATCCATTGCTTCCTTGGTCTCATAACTGTGGTGATGTTCCTACAGTCTTATCACTGGCTTAACCAGGTCTAATCCCTCTGGGGAAACCCATAAACTCATCTGTGGATTTCCATATCGTTACTACTACACCCGAACTGGTGGTTACTACTGTCCCTTCCGCGTCCTAACAACGCGCTCATGCTATCTACCAACCTAGTGAATGTTGCGGCTACACCCACAAACTAACATCACTCTAACACTATCTGCTAACCTGGTGAATGTTACGGCTACACCCGCAGACTTACAAAACTTCTAGCGCTATCTGCTGCTAGTGAATGCTACGGCTACCCCCGCAGTCTTACAACACTTTCCATACTACCTGATCGCTAGTGAATGCAACGGCTACCCCCACAGTCTTACAACACTTTCCATACCGGTTGAACACGCACTCGACCTAACACACAACTGAACTCAATTCATGGCTAGAATCTGAACCTGATTTCCAAAGTTCTGCTATCAAGCATCGAGAAGACGCGATTCACATGCTGGGGAGTTTTACCGAACTCCCAACTCACACAACACTCAAACCAAGAAGCCACTAGGGTTGTCTTCCTTCCTGAAAACGTTGCAAAACCTATCCCAGTTTCAAAACCGATCCTGCTTCTGCATTCCGGGTCGATTCTCCCCCACTTAGATTCAACTAAATCTTCATAATACATGGAAATTTGAGAATTCTCAATCCTTCTTTCTTCCAACGATCGATCTGATGACAACCAGACCTTTCCAACTAGTACTCCTTTACTAGCCAACGCCAAACGATCACACACTTCTAATAACTAGATGAACACTTCCTGAATCCTAGGGAAACCAACAGTCCCTAATGCTCGAATGATCCCACACCCAAATCTTGAAGTCCAAAGATAGATGATCCAACTAACTTCTCAACAACGAGCTGCTTCCCTTGGCGCTTTCCTCTGCCAATGAATAACGGTTACTAAAACCACTGAACCCTGACAATGCTGAATAACCATCCTGTGGGACCCTATCTGCAGACCTCTCATATAATACCCTTCTTCCCAAAGTGCCCCAACAAATCTCCCGCTCTCGGCTCTAGAAATCATATCATTCAGGGTCTCGCACCCTGACTCACTCACCAACTCGATCATCCACAGCTGAACTGCAGTAGCTGAAACAACCTCTGCCCTAAATCGGGTACAAACTACTCCCAAGACATAGCCTCCAATCCTAAAAGTGCAATGAATCACACAATCAATCCTTACCGTCCGATGCGAGAAATCCAAGGCGAATCGGGTCTCACAAGATACTTATGCCACATCGACACACCCGCGTTCACCAGCGCTGAAATATATCGCCAACCCCTGCGACTAGCTGACCCCGAGCTGGAATACAACCTGATCCCGGGGTCACAAGCCTGCTCAATCCTTCGAGCTCGTAAACTGAAAGGGCACAATCCTTGCCCTAGAAAACGACATTTAAATACTATCAAATAATCATTTTACCTCTAGCTGCAAAACCCCAGCTGAACATAATCATCATTCCTTTTCGGAGTCCCCGCAACTCACACTCCGGCCTCGAACAAAACCCCCGAAGCCTCAAGTCCAGAAACTCATGTACTAGCCTCTCCCGCTCAACCGTGGAATGTAACGAGTACAGAACATTCCCTGATCCCAAGTAACTACAGCCCTCTGCTCATCAGAATATGTCCCAGTAACAAGTCCCGGTACTGGAAAGCTCGACCAGCTCCTTCCCCTGTCGTCGTTACAGCTGTTATAGTTGTCGCGGCAACCGTCTCGGCAATGGCTGCATAGCGCTCGTCGAAATAATCAACCATGGTAGTCTTAATAGACCCAAACATCTCTGGTAACTGTCCCCAGACAAACTCGATCATCTCCTCCCGGATGATCTCACTGATACGGTCCTCTGGCAATGCTGGCCTATCCTGGCTGCCAGCTCCCGATCCTAACCTGGATTCGGTCTCAAGACGTCTCGTAACCACCATTCTGGTAAGACTCCATAAAGATCTCTGATAATCCATATAATGACAGGGGACCAACTCCCTACCCAACCCTAGGGGTTGTGACTTCTTTGCTACGCGTATGGGTCCTATGCTTTCAGTAGTACGGGCCCATACTACCTTCCACACCTACCCATATCTGTCTCAAGTATCACCACAACACCCTAACAATATACATAACATAACGAGCGCTAGATCCTCACTCCTAGAGGAATGCTAAATATCTCATAACTTGCCTCCCGGCCTCTCACTACCCACCCATCAATGAAACTTCCACCAACCCTGCAGCACTAGTGTATGCTAGCCATACATAACGTTGGACCGTATAGACTTTCGAATATTCAATCCTACCCTAAGCTCCCAATCAAACAAGAACAGAACATAAGGTGAAATCAAACATTCCCAGGCTATAAGATCTTAATTATGTATAACTGTGATGCATACACTAAGCAACTACAGTTTTGATGTCAATCTCATATAAAGGAAACCCTAGGCTAGCAGGCATCATGTAATCAGGAAATTCTATCATGGAATTCCTGAAGATCCCTAGCCTAGCACTAGCATGTTATTCTAACATATCACATAATCAAATAACTGTATGGTATTTTGGGGTCTACTTACTGGCTTCAGCTGATCGTACACCCTGTATCCTCCTTTACTTATTTTGAGAACCATTTAAAAATCATTTTAAAATCCTTTCCTTGATTTGAGACTGGATTCACACGAGTGTTCCTCCAATTCACTCAAACCAAGGCTCTAATACCAACTTGTAACACCCATAAAAATCAATCCAATTTAAAACTTTTTAATACATTTAAAAACCATTAAGTGATTACAGTTTGTTTTCAAAATAGTTTAAACATCAGAGTATCAACAGAATCAAATCATAAAACCATGAAATATGAGGAGCTGTACGATCACGCCTTTGCCATCCTGCGATCATCTGATGTACCTGAAACAATAAACTGAAACTGTAAGCCCGAAAGCTTAGTGAGTTCCCCCAAAATACCAACCTCATATAACCATACTCATATCATATCAGCAAATACAGAACAACCTGCATAATAAGCCTTCAGCCTGACTGGACCGCCTCTCAGGGCCTACAGCCTATCTGCACTGCTCCCGAGCCTTCGGCATGACTGGACCGCCTCGCAGGGCCTACAGCCTATCCGGGCCGCTCGCAGAGTATGTTGACCTACAGCACAAAGCAGGACCGCCTCAACCCAACCCAACCACAATGTCGACATACGTACAACACATAATCAAACAATAAGCACAAATCATATAGACTGCTAAGCATAGCATCATCTTATCTACCATAATACCGATCTAACAGATCATAACAGCATAACAACACCCTAACTATCAGGGTACCGATCTAACAGATCATAACAACATATCATCACTCTAACTACCAGGGTACCTATCTAACAGATCATAACAGCATAACAACACCCTAATTACCAGGGTACCGATCTAACAGATCATAACAGCATAAGAACACCCTAACTACCAGGGTACAGATCTAGCAGATCACGAATGCATAACAACATACTAAATGTAGGATAATAATCCAAAGGGACCGACCTAGTGTCGTAGACCCTGTCAGTATAGTGAGGAGAACTCACCTGGCATTGCTGAAGTCCTGCAGATAAAACTCCAGCTGCTGGTTGACACCTTCCCGAACTGTCAACATCAAACAATACCCAATTAATAATTGGGTTCCAAGCCCACGGTCCAACTCACACTCCAAAAAGACCCAAAATTCAAGTAATGGGTCAAAGCCCAACATATGGCCCAATTTTCCAAATTGGGCCCATACCTCTACATGGTCTTTCCTTAAGGCCCGTTCAATTATTCTAGTCCAAACTATTTGTATTCCCATGGCCCAATATC